ATTAATTTATATAAATGCATATCTATAATACTAATAAATAAGTAACTTTGGGGACACGTGTCATGTTTTTGTGCGACGATTATTGATTTTTTCCGMCTAAACATGTATCTAGACACAATTTTCAGTTACGACCCGCAGACTTACAACATAACTCTGGAAAATTTCATGTCTGAATTTAACTCTGGAGTGGTCATCAAAACCGGGTTTAAAATTTCAGATTCGAATTTTTGAAGCATTTTTCACAAAGCAATATTACCCGGGAAAAAATTTAGAATAGCATGTGCTCTTGTAATGCAGCAATTCACGTTCTTGAAACCATTAAGATGAGTTCTCCACTAATAACTACTTCTTTACCGGGTTCTTTTCCCACTCTCAATGTCCTCCCCAAGAAATCGATTCTTGCTCCCAAAGCATCGATTCCTTCTCCCAGGGCAACGATTTCTTCTCTCCCAATGCAGCAATTCATGTTCTTGAAACCATCAAGGTGAGTTCTCTATTAATCTCTACTTCTCTGTTGGGTTCTTTTCCCACTCTCAAAGGCCGACGCCGATGCTTCTAAGACCTACCCTCAGTAAGCTGGCACTATCCGTAAGGGAGGTCACATCGTCATAAAAAACCGTGATTGCAAGGTTTGCTTTACTCGTCGTCTCTCTAACTTCTGATTTCTTTTGTTTTCTGGTATCATGTAGTTGGATCTTCTTTTGTCTATGTTAAATCTGTATTGGTGGGGTGAGTTGATTTGGTTTTGACTTCGGGTGTTAGGGTTTCGATTTTTGTTGTTTTGAATTGATTTTTATCTCTAGAAATTTGGTTGTAGACTTGCAGTTGATTTTCTTAGGTTTCAAGAGACATGCCGGTCGGATTTCTAACCTAGATTTATTGTATTGAATTTGTATCTTTTCGCTAGGGTTTCGGACCAAAAAGATTGTGGACGAGACGCAACCAAGTTTCTCATCGTTTGTGAATTTCAAACGATAATGCATTTATAAGGTAGTATAACTAAAAGAGTAATCAAATAGCCTCTTGGTAACATTGTTTAATATGGTTAAAAAATGAAGCAGTTCAGATCGGTTTGGCGTGATTCGGAGCGGTTCCCTCGGCGTCTATTTTGTTCATAAGAAAGTCAACAAATGCGATTTCTCCGAAAGGAGAAGGAACAAAGAAACCGATTAGGTGATTACTCTTCTTCTTACCATCATCTCTATTTTGATCTTTAAACAATAAGCTGGAACTCACTTTGAATTCACCACCTATCATTTTATGATCCCGGTTTTTATTACAGTCTCTGCTTTGGTACTTTTGAAGAACAATCACTGAAAGAAATGACTGTTGTAGATATTGTTGTTTCTGTGCTCGCAAAGCTACTTGAATACATGGTTTGCCCCCGATCGTACACCCATTTGGTTATATAGTCTATCATAATACCAACATTAATGGTTTAAGATGTCAAGTTTTGTGTCTTGACAACACTCGATTTGGGGTTCAACAGCAAGTCGATGTAGCTGATAGGAATGGAGAAACTGTTCTTCCAGTTGTACAAGATTGGCTTGCTAAAGGAAATGGTTTGGCAACAGAATATGTAATTGATCCATGAAAGAATCAGCTAAAAATATATCGATATCCCTAGCTTCATTTCCTATGCTAAAACAATCGTACACAACTAATGAACCAAATCGACATCTGCTTCTGTTCTCTTCTTTCAAATCGACGGCTTTAACTTGACGTTTGGTTCTGTTCTCTTCATTTTATGATGGTCTTTTCTTTCTTTTCCTTCAATAGGCAGTCGAGAAGTATCGTAATCTTAATCTATATGATATACCTTATTCTGTAATTTCTTTCAACCAATTACTTGATTATGTAATCTTAATCTATATCATATATTGATTTCGGATTTTTCCAATTGATTTGTTGTAGTTGATTCTGTAATCTGAATATATATGATATATTGATTTCGATTTTTTCTATACATTTGTGGTAGAATTACCTTGCTGGGTAGTATATACAAAATAAAACCTTACTAATCTTTTTGCTATCAAGCAGGTTAAGATATGTTGAGAAAGAGTTGGCTAAGAAAAAGGGGAAGAACGTTGATGAGGCAAATCAAGTTGAGAATTATTTTTATGTTTTTCTTTTTTAGAGGATGGGCAAGGAGTTCCAATAGCAGTAAGGCACATAGAATCAATGATAAGATGTCAGAAGCTCATGCTAGAATGCACCTAAGGCAGCATGTGACTCAGGAAGATGTGGACATGGCAATTTGTGTGTTGCTTAACTCCTTTATTTCTACTTAGAAGTTTGGAGTGCAAGGCCCTACAGAAGGTACCAGAACTTTCCTTCTTGGTATCTTGAGTTTAACATCATCCTAAGCCAAATGCTTATTTGACGCATTTATGGTATCAAGTCTATTGCTTGGTGCTTTATCCTTAGATTTAAGGGTGCATGCGGGTTATGTTGTGCGGTTGACAACATTTTCACAACCCAACCCAATTGTGGCGGTTTGAAAAAATCTCAACCCAACCCAACCCATTCAAAAGTATAACCCAACCCAATCCTTGCGGGTTGGGTTGGCGGGTTAGTAGTTACATAAATTTGCGGTTTGGCGGGTTGGGCAGGTTGAGCTAGGCCCAACCCAATTTCAGCCCTCCTAATTAGCGGGTTAGCGGTTTGACGGGTGGGCGGTTAGGCGGGTTGGGTTGACCGGGTTTCGCGGGTTGACGGTTTCTTATGCACCCCTACTTAGATTTTACTCGCACATCCGTGAGAAGGTCATGCATTTAAAAAAATATTCTTTTAAATAACCTCATTTATAATAGATGATGACAAATTGAGGTTGATGGTATGCAGAGTTTCAAAAAGTACATGACATTCAAGAAGGATTTCAATGCAATTTTATTGCATCTACTGAATCAACTTGTGAAGGAGGCGCTACACTTTGAAGAGATCGTATCTGGGTCTAGGACAGATGTTACTCTTATTGGCGTGAAGGTGGAGGAATGCAAATCAAAGTAATCTAATGAATAATTTGGTTTATATCTTGTATCTATAAAATATGTGAGGTCCGGCGATGATGGTTTTGTGTTTATGCATAGGCGTTGGATTATGGAATCACGGATTTGAAGGCGTTCTTTAGCAGCGTGGAATTTGGTCCAGGGAACTTTGAATTGGACGAAGAGTGGAGCGTGATAAGGCATCACCTTGTAAGATGATGAGTTGAGGAGGAACTTGTTAACTTTAGACATTAGACTGACTGTCCCAAGGAAGAAACAACTTGCCCAATTGAAAAGTTTGAACTTTCCATCCAAAGTTTCCTTTTCAAAGGTGTCTTTTATGTTGCATTGCATCAATTGGATTGTAATCTAAATCTGACACTGTTTCTTACATTCATTTATTTAAGGAAGTAAAAGACTATTATTGGAAGAAAAAGCAACCAAGTAACCTAAAAGTTTAAAATGATATGATTCATGTTGTGTGACTTTAATGAGGTGATGTGGATGACACGTCATTTTGATGACTTAACTAAAATTAAAATAAAAACCTATTTTAAATTATTATTAGTGATTTTCATTTTTTATTGTTATTATCTAAATATATATATATATATATATATATATATATATTTACTTTTTCTTATTAAGTTGCATTCAAATTAAATATTCTTAGATGAAACATCTCGCTTGAGCAAACCCCAAATTACTAATTTTATAAAATCTCCAATAAAATATAATTTATTGATTATTGGGACCAAAATTGATCCTAATTATTCTAAAAGTTTTGTCAAAGCAATCGGGGCCAAGGATGGAAAATCTGAAAATGTTGTTGAAACGACTAAGTCTGGAAGAAGACCAGAGACAATGAATTGGTCCAGAGGCAGGCGATGGATCAGAGGCTGCTGAAATGTCTAATTCTGGAAGAAGACCAAAGGCGATGAATTGGTCCAGAGGCAGGTGATGGACCAGAGGCTGCTGAAATGACTAAGTCTGGAAGAAGACCAGAGGCGATGAAGGTCCAAAGGCGATGAAGGACCAGAGGCGATGAAGGGCCAGAGGCCATGAAGGACCAACCCTTTAAAACACACAGATCTGGGCATAACATTAATTGTTGGGTTTGAGTTAGAGCGTTAAAGTTGTATTCAAGTTTCTCCTTAGTGTAGTTTTATATTGTAATAGTGTAGCCTTTACATTTCCTTATATAAATAGTATTTTCCTTGTAATTGTCATTATGAAGTGATTAGCAAATTGTAATCAAGTTTTTCAGCTGTAATTCTCTCTCTCTCAATCTAATCATTCTTTGAAGATATTCTTTYTATTATTCTATTCATCTTAATTCTTGAAGATCATATCATGTTTGTATGATTTTGGGACTTCACAATTGGTATCAGAGCAAGCTGCAGCAGTTTTGATTAGAGGATTGAACAAATTTTGCACAATTTTTCACGAATTTTTTGAAGATTCATCAATCTGGGTCATGATGTTCATCAATGTTCTTGAGAGTTCTTCATCCAAATTGGGTTTTTGAGCTTAAATCGGTTAATTTTTCAGTGTTATTTGTAAAGATTTACTTCGCCAGATTCGGTTTTGCATTACGAACAATCTTGATTCACACTATTTTTGATTTTAAGCAAGTTTTAAACCAGTTTTAATCGAAAATTGATTTTTCGTATTCTGGAAAATTTTMTTCAAAACTCATATTTTTTCATGTTTTGATCCAATTTTTGGGTAAAAAGTGTGAAATTTTGTGTTTTTGATTGAATTTTAGTCCGATTAAAGCTTGTGCGATTTAGGGTGTTATCCGCGTATTACTTGTGCGATTTAACATCTGTGTGAATTGAGTTGCTTGATATAGGTTATCCGGACAACATTTGTGCAGATCATTAAGCGATTTAGCAAACCGCTTAGTAAATCTTTGGTAACTTGAACGGATTAGTGGCCGATTTATATAATCCGACTGGTAAAAAGTTTAAGGTTTGTGCGATTTAATAAGCGATTTAAAGAATCCGCTTGGTAAGACTTTAAATTTGTCTACTTGAGCGATTTATAATTGTGATCGTATATTCCTTGGTGATTGAATGGATATTGACTTTTTGATCGATTTATTTCTTTGACTTTTCATCGATTTGTTTTTAAAAGACTTATACGTATTTTGACTTGTTGACTTAGTTGACCTTGACTTGTTGACTTGTTGACTTTTTACGTCCGATTTTCATTTTGGAATTTTGACTAAGTGTTGAAAACATCCGATTTGAGAATTTTAAATCAAATTGAATTTTGTGCCTTATCCGTATTTCATTTTGCATAATCCGTCTAAATTTTGCATTCTTTTGTTAAAATCTGGTTAAGTGTTTTGGGCGATTTAAATTTACTTGTTGTTCGGACTTCTAATCCGGATAACTTGTTGAATATTCTATCTTGTTGACCGGACTTTCAATTCGGATAAGCTTAACCGGATTACTAATCTGAATAAGTGTTTGTGCATAAATTATTCTAAGTGTTGAATGTGTGCGAAGTTTTGTTTACATATTATCAGATATATTTTTGTAAACAGATCTTTTAATTCAAACTTTGAACTGCAGATAAAAAGAAAAAGTTTGATATTATTTTGATACAAATTTATGTAGACGACATAATATTTGGATCTACAAACCCCAAATACTGTAAAAACTTTTCTDYYTTRATGGTTTCTCGTTTTAAAATGAGTATGATGGGTGAGATGAACTTCTTTTTAGGTTTGCAAATTAAAAAATTATCTTCGGGTATTTTTATCTATCAAACTAAATATATTTTAGATATCCTGAAGAAATTTAACATGGAAAAATGTTCATCTATCAAAACACCTATGGCTCATGGAACAAAGATCCATGCTGATCCTTCTAGAAAAGCTGTTGATCAGAAAACATATCGAGGTATGATAGGTTCTTTGATGTATTTGACGTCTTGTAGACCTGATACAATGTTTTCAACACATCTTTGTGCCAAATATCAGTCTAATCCTAAGGAGTCCCATCTAAGTGCCGTTAAGCGCAGTTTCCGTTATCTTAAAGGGACTGCTAATCTTGGACTCTGGTATCCCAAGGGTACTGGTTTTAAACTGACAGCTTATTCAGATGCAGACTATGCAGGATGTATGTTAGACATGAAAAGTACAACAGGACATCTACAGTTTTTGGGAGATAAGCTAGTCAGCTGGGCATCAAAGAAACAGAACTGCGTTTCCATTTCCACTGCCGAAGCAGAATATGTAGCTGCTACAAGCTGTTGTTCTCAAGTGCTATGGATGCAGACACAACTCAGAGACTACGGGTTTTATTTTAATAAAATTCCAATTTACTGTGATTCCAAAAGTG